ATCACCAGAAAAATCCACCCGGTCCATAGTCAGCTCCTATAATCCCTTCTGGAAAGACAGTGGGTAGGAGCAGACTGTGTGCCAAATTAACTGTCCCGGCACATGTTTCATGGTCTACTTGCAACTTCCCAAATGTAGGAAGTATTCTCGCAAGGGATGGAGGAAGAAAGCTGAATAATTGTGCAAGTTGTTCAAGATGCTTTAGAAGTTAATATAGCAGTAAAAGGAAAAGATTAAAACAAATGTAAATATAGAAATGAATCCTACAGATTATTTTTCTTGGGGTAGCTATTTATTTTGATCTTATTTACGTATAAATAACTGTCTGGAATTTATGTTTTCCAAATGGCAGAATTACTTATTAAAGTCAGATATTGTTTCTGACTTTTGTTTCAGCTCTTTACTGTACCTGCCTTCTACAGAATGACATATCAATGGTTTGTGTCAAGTACACATTATTTGACTTTCTCTGAAGGTTAATTGTTTTCCAATATTTTCATATTCCGTGCATCACTGTTAATGGAAGAAAACACTGATGGGGGCACCACATCATATTTTGGAGGTTAGTACTCTTAATTTCTATTTTTATTGTAATTTCTTATCTTGTTAGCTAATTTGAGAAACAAAGAGTAGCATTTTTGCCATCACATTTCTTAGCACATTTTGTCAAAGATTTATTACACAATGAAGTAAGCAGAATGGTAGCCATAAAAAGAAATCGCAACTCTATTTCACAGAACATAGCTTACAGATTATTTTCAAGTAATCACTGCTTATAATAACTTGGTTAAAAATACAGAATACCAGGTGGCACATGGCTTTTGACACAACTCTTAAGAAGGAGCTTTCAAGAGCCTGCATTATGAATGATGAAAGTGAAGACCAATAGCCAGCACAACCCATTTGCTGACATTTGATAAAATGGCTCTTCTAAAAGCAAACTCTTTAGGAGGAAGTAGAGAACTTGCTATAAGGATGGGTAGTGTTCATTCACTCCCCCCTGATCTGCCTATGTAATGAAGGAAGTCTTGAAGTCCTAACTTCACTTAGGAAATTACTGCAGCAAGTGTGTCATGACATGGTAGTGCCCCAAATCACGACAACAACATTTGCACGTGCCTGTTTAGATAGGACCTGAACAGCGTTATAACCAGGTTACTGAACTTCCCCCAACTTGGATTCTTTCTGAAGTCACAGTAATGTTAAATTAGCCAGTTGAAACACCTCACAGTTTCATCTGTGCAGAAAGGAGTGGGTATGCTAGAGGTTAATGGTGACGAGGGAGGGAGCACCAACCCTTCCGTTTCCATTGCCTGGTTCAATAAATGCTCTTGATTACAAACTAGTAAGAAATGACAGCTCGAGCCCCCATGGCTATATGCATCCTGGAAACAGGCAAGATGAAACTAGAGGACAGAGAAAGAATGACTAAGATTACAAGACAAATTACTGGCAAGGATTTTGCTACTGCAGCTGGGCTATATAACAACAGGTTTTGGTTTTGTTTTTTTTTTCCTTCGTAATTTGACATTCCCCCCTGCCCCTAAAATAAAACTTGGCAACACAGAAAAAGCCAGTTAATTACCTCCTCCCCACTGCTACTTCACTGCTGTTTCTGCTGGTGATGGTTTTGCTCCCATGTTTTCAGCAGATCAGTTGCCAGCTGTGAGATGTGCTGCCAGGCAAACTTGACGTGGGTGGACTCCACTGTGCGGGAACAAATTGCAAAACGTAGCACAAACTTCTCTCGCAGGTGGCACGGGACCAGATGAATCTTCTTGGCCTCCGTTATACTTTTAAGAAGCGCCTTATTTAGTTCATTCGAGCCCTGAAAGCATTGTGTTTCAATGATGGTGATGAGCTTCATAAGCAAGTTTGGAATATGTAAATCCCACCAAGCAGCCAAGCCCAAGTACTACCAGTAACACACAGACACATTCTCACCTCTCTTGGCCATCAAAGGAGTACAAAAAAATGACGGAGCAAGAGATAATTTTTCAGCCACAAAGAGATTTATGGATTAACTGGGGTTTAGAAGCAGCGTTCATACCAGGGCATTTGTGACAGCAGACTGCTTTTTTGTGACCTAAGGTCGTGAGCTATGTAGCTTCATGTAAAAGTGTTCGTTATTGCATCCATTTCATTACACTTTTCTTAGATCTAACCAAACACACGAGAGGACATTTTGCAATGAACTACACTAACATTTCTAAAACAAACCTTCCAGTCTTCATTTAAACATGGCTGCTGTGAGAGAGTCTTTTGCATATGAAGACGGGAATTTTACCCTCAGTTAAGAAATAGTTAAGGTAATGTATCCCTGGCATAAGTAAGTTTCATACTATCAGTAGAAACCCTAAAAAAGTATTTGCCTCAAGTTCTATAGGAAGCGTCTGCCACGGAATCCTACAGAGTGGGTTTTTTGGGGAGGGATTTTAGAAATGTGGTAAACTGACCCTCCCACTGGAAGTAAAGTCTTCTGCATTCCAGGAAAGAAAGATATAAGTGTTAAATATCTTGCAGAAGGTCAGAGGTACTACACATGCATGCAGTATTGAATTTTATCTCCTTTTAGTGTACTTCATTTTTCTTGGGCTCAAATAGTGAATATGAGGATTTCCCTTAGAGCAGCCGTATGCTCTTAATATCAAATCTCAAAAGAAATAGGACTGCCCAGAGGAGTACTGGTTCTTTTGCAGATTCAGCTAATGTTGAATCAATGTTTTTTCTAGTTCATGCCCATCACCATTTGAGAATAAAACAAAAGATGTCATCAGATTTTCAGAAACAGTAGTAAATCGCTTTAAATTAAAACAATGAAAGAAGGGCTCCCAAAATCTTGAGATTTTTGTCTGATTTAGCAACACAGGATGAATTGCTAGCTGACAGTCTTTGTCACCTAAATTAAAGGAACCCGTCTGTCTAACTTTTGTATCAGCAGACCGAGAGATGGCTACAGCTTTGCTGGGCAGTTTGCTGTAATAGCTTAGGATATATCACATTGATCTTGAGTGCTACAGTTTTATTCTTTGGGAAAGCATCTTAGCTATTGTACAGCCTTTACTCTTTCTATTACACTGCTGGTAACACAGAATTGTGAGAGATGCTAGGAGCATTTGCACTTTTACGGCAGTGTTTCCTTACTCAACACTGAACACGGGAAAAGAGTCACAAATGGACACATACGTCTGTTCAGCAGCGGTTTTGTTACTGTAGTGGCATAGGTCTTCTTGAAACACATTGTCTCAAATATGCACAGTTGTGTCTTGCCCTCCTAGCTTTTTCCATATAAAAACAAAGCATAAGGGAGACAGTTTCCCATTGGCACTGAGGATAACTGTATTATTTTCATGTATTTGGATCATATTAGAGTTAGAGCTGAACCCAAGTCAAAACCTCATTCTGACTTAGCACAAGTTGTTAGGGAATTTGGATGACAGCCTAAAATTCATGGCTTAGCCTTAGTCTTCTAGGAGATATTTATGTAACTCGAATGCTCCTAACTAAGAAAAGGACCAATTCTGGTGTTTTGCAAGTCCCTACCCTTAACGGGCCACTCACTGGAGACAATGATACCCTGCTTTCTTATCAAAGGTAATCCATCATTAAAATGACGATCCTTGTCTTTAAGATGGAATGCACGGCACTAACTTTTAGGCAATACAAGTGGTTATATGATGTTAAGTTAATGCTCTTGGCAGGGGTGAGGGGAGGAGGGAGAAAGATTTATGTATCTTTTTTCTGTTCTGCTCTCACAGCTGCACCTAGGAGCTGCTGTGACACTCCGGTGTCACGTCAAATTGAAGTTAGTAGTGACTAATCCTCTCCCAGAGCTTTGAGAAGCCAGCTCTGATTGAGTCTGTCAGCTTCAATAAGACAGTATTCTCACTTCCTTGGAGAAATGACTAGCTTGACTTGTATTCATCTGCAGACATGTCAAGGAGGCCAAAAATTAACCCTTTGGCATGATACATTTGATGAAACAGTTATAATATGAAAGTCATAGATTGTCAGTCCATCTGCTCAACAGTGTGAAAGGCTGTAATTAAAAGTTACAGCTAAGCAAAAAAATAAAAAAATATTTAACAAAGGAAGGAAAACTATTTCATACTTTTACAGCTGTGCAGCATTACAGCTCAAGTCCCCTGTCCTTTAGTCCTACTGTAACTACAAAAAAGTTACAAGTACCCTACTTCTAAGATACATTTTAATACAAATTACAGAAATCACAGGAAGATTTTTGAAAGAGTGATTTAAAAAGCAAACAGAGCTGCAAAAATAACTATAAAACACTCTTCATTTAAAAGCTTGTTAGCTTTGTTTTCTTTTTTTTGGGCCAGGAAGGCAAGTGATGAAACGACTGCTGTGTCAACACCGGTTTTCAGCAGAATCGCACCTTTATTCTACAACTGGTCCAAAACTTTCTTAGCTGGGTGTCCAATATTTACCTCCTATTGTAAACTTGTCTTTCCCTGTAGATCTGATTTCTTCCTCTGGATCATCAGGGACAAGAGAACAGATGTAGATGAACTGCTGGCTTGATCAAATGTGACAATTCCTGTGTTTCTATGCTCTATTTCACCAGGACTGTTTCTTTAAAGTAAATGTGGAGAAATGACTAACAGCTGTCTCTAGATCTGCAAAACTAATGTTTGCTTGTTTCATGTGAGAGAGCAGACTACAATCAACATCTTGTTATTGAGCAATAAAAGCCACAGAACCTATTCCTCAAAATTTTTTAAAAGTTCTTGTTAGGAAATAAATTATATTCATGTTTCCACTTACTGGAAAAACTCCACATTCTGTAATCTGTCCGATCCTCCAGCAACAGATCTTTTTTTTAATTTTATTTTAAACAACATAAATTCAAATGAACCCATTTTCCTATTCCAGATGAATTCATCGCTACCTTATTGTTAAAGATTTGTTAGTTCCTTCAGCCAACTGCATCAAACTCAGGTAACTGGGGCGACTGAATGACTGAGAAAAGAATTTGTGAAAAGTAGTGATACCACACTGCCCAGAAGTAGCCAAGATGTGCTGTGAGCCCTCAGAAAATCTAAAAGCTCATTGAAGTACCATGTGAACTAGAAGACACCAGTGCTGTTATCATTATTGCTTGGTGTTCAGATTCAGTGTCACAATCCAGCCCTTTACAGAGGCTTTAGTTGCAAACCTCTCTATTAAATGGGTGTGCTGGTTTTGACTGGGATAGTTAATTTTCTTCACAGTAGCTAGTATGGGGCTGTGTTTTGGATTTGTGCTGGAAACAGCGTTGTTAAGGCAGAGATGCTTTTGTTACTGCTGGGCAGTGCTTACACAGCGTCAAGGCCTTTTCTGCTTCTCAAACCACCCCACCAGCAAGCAGGCTGGGGGTGCACAAGAAGCTGGGAGGGGACACAGCTGGGACAGCTGACCGCAACTGACCAAAGGGATATTCCAGACCATATGACGTCATGCTCAGCTTATAAAGCTGGGGGAAGAAGAAGGAAAGGGAGGGCGCATTCAGAGTGATGGCATTTGTCTTCCCACGTCACTGTCACACGTGATGGAGCCCTGCTTTCCTGGAGATGGCTGAACACCTGCCTGCTGACAGGAAGTGGTGAATGAATTCCTTGTTTTGCTTTGCTTGTGTGTGCAGCTTTTCCTATACCTATTAAACTCTTTTCACCTCAACCCACGAGTTTTCTCACTTTTACTCTTCCAGTACTCTCCCCCATTCCACTGAGGGGTGTGAGCAAGCAGCTGTGTGGGGCTTAGTCGCCAGCTGGAGTTCAACCACAACAATGAGTTCTTTACCCAGGATAGGACACCGATCTGTTTTTAATGTCTGATTAAACAAGTGAGCCCTCCCAACTACTGCAGCTCTTATGCTCTGAGTGCAGAGTGAGTTTTCTAGTTTCTGTCAGGCAAGGTCTCTATGTCAATGAACTTGGCACTTACAGAGATTTTGGGGAATGAAAGGCCAGGAGGGTCAAAAAGACCATGTTCAGCTGAAAAAAAAGCAGACCAGAACCAAGGGAAGTTGGGATGCTGGCCTCCTATGCAACCTGTTCTTACTCATATCTTGCTCCAATTTGCCCAGTTTTACTGTAGGACTTTAAAATGAAAATGTTGACTACTTAAATCTTCATCCATGACAGTTATTATATAAATATATGTAAAATTTGATATCAAATATCCACATATGTAAAATTAACTTGACAATAAACCTATAATACACACATGCACTCACACATCATATACAAATGTCTAGGGAAATATATTAAAACAATTGTCTTCATCAAAGCCCATCAAGCATAGAATGTAACAGTCATTTTATGTGACTGGGTAGACCATTTTTTTGCCTTAACTATATATTTCCACACCCTAGTCTGCTTGAATTTCTCTTCAGCATTTGATTAATTTTTAACAAAACTGTCTTAAGCCTCTTTCTTTAATCTGTCTTGATCTACATGAACTCCCTTTACTTTCCTGAAAAAATAATTAAGTATATTAACTACAAAGACTATATTCAATTGCAGGTTATTGTATTGCTATAAAACATGACAGAGGAAATAGGAGGTGTTAGCTGCCTTACCTTCAGTCGAAAACAGACTAGTCCCAAGACAACCTCAGCACAAATCTCAAATCTTTCATCCTGAAGGACTAAATGTTCAAATTGATGTGACAGCCTGACGTGCTGAGAAGAGAAAGATAGTATCTATGTTGTATAAATTTGATTCATCAAGAGAAAAGATGCGCTAAATTGTTTCCATCCCTAATGGTTTTTTCTCTGTTCTCTCTTCTGATATGTATTCGCATATCGCCATCTGTTTATGTTAACTTACGTATTGTTTATGACTTTCAGAGATCATATTGACCCTTTGCTATCTTAGTAGCTCAGTCTATCTGAGGCAGTACTACTCTGTTTCGTAATGAAACATTTAGACACAGATTTTTTTTATGATACCAATTAATAGTAAATAATTGTAACAATTCTGCTTTAGGTTTTCTACCACTGTCTGTTTTGGCTGGGAATGGCTAAAAAGTCCAAAAGTTATTATGACAAAAGGGGGAGATGCACAGAGATAAAATGATCACAATTCCAGTGCAAAATAAGATGGAAAGATAAACTTTTTAGAATAGTTCACTTAATATGAGGATATTTGTGAAGAAGGGGAGAAGCTGCTCACTCTTCTGACCTGGGTGCTCAGGTTCAGTTGAAAAGAAAGGTGATAGCAGTATAATCAAGAAAATGGACAGCAAATCTCAGCCAACCTGTTTAGAAGTTACTGGAGAAAAAAGAGTGACGTTGGACACCAAGCCAGAGCAATTATTTTGAAGCATAGGAAACCAGTGCTTTTCCAAAATCAAACAACTAGGAAAAATACCAACAGGCATACTAACAACCAGCTGCGAAGTCTTAACATCAATCAGTGATGCTTGCATACTCATACCACATTTTGCTTTCTCCCAAACAGAAAATAAATTCAAAAACACTTGGAAAAAAAAACATGTCCCCATCAAGTACCTGCAGTACCTTATCCAGTTCCCCCCTCACTGGCTATCATCAGTTTAATGCTCATTACCCTAAAAAAAAAAAAGAAAAAACCCCAAAACCAAAACAATGGCAGCAACCAGCTATTAGAATTACAGTTTGTCCTCATGTAATAGCCAGTCTACACCAAAAATTACCAGCAACATCGAAAATGATGTTTAAAAGTTCCTTAACTTTTATGTATTTATGATTGCAAATAATTTTATAAAAATAAAAAAAAACTAACTGTATGTGTTTTCCTTCATTTGCGCTTTGCCTTTTTGCAAGCTCAAGGACCGATATCAAACAAAAATGAAATGTTTCACTTTGGGCAAGGGTTAGATGTGGAGCATTTAATCTCATAGGAACTTCTTCCAAAAGAACAAGGCAAGAACAAGGCAAAATGGAAATTACAGAAAAGAAAAAAAAAAAGAAAACACATTTTGCAATCTTAATTATAACTTTCTGATGTTTGTTTATTTCTTAAAATAGAAAAACATTGTTTATATTGAATCAAAACATTGATTCAAAACCTTCATATTGGGCATACTGATACCCTATGCAATCAGCCAATCTTACTGTTGTCACCACTTCCTCTCTGCTGTTTGTTACATCCCTTTATCATCTTCCTCTAAAATTAGACAGAAAACCCTTCGAGTCAGGAATGACACCAATAAAATGCTCGGTCCTTAACAAAGGCATTTGAATGTTCTACTAATATAAACAGCATGAGTTTACAGCTATAAAAATTGACCAGAAGTATATGTATAAATACAGATTCTTGTATGCATAAGTGCATGGAAAACGTATGTGAAATGTGCACGTGTTGCAATGATGGTGTACTGTCTCCTCCCATCCTCATGTTCTATAGCCTTAACCAAACTGATGTCTTTTACACAGCTCTGCAGAATTTCACACTGCATATACTAGGTCTTGGAAATCAAAGCTATAAAAAAAAATCATTTTCAACAAGATGACAATTTCACAACTGTTCTGAATGTAATCACCAACTGAATTTAATCAAAATTTACCTGGGTAAGCACTGAAAAAAACAAAAATTTGGCTTACTGCACGTAGTTTGTACGAGAAAACTCTGGACCCATGCTCTACTTGGTATTTATATCTCTTTAATATCCCTGGAAGTGTTCAAGGCCAGGCTGGATGAGGCTTTGGGCAACCTGGTGTAGTGGAGGGTTTCCCTGCCCATGGCAGGGGGGGTGGAACTAGATGATCTTTGAGGTCCCTTCCAACCCTAACCATTCTATGATTCTATGATTCTATGATTTATGTCTCTTTATTTATTTATGTCTCCCCCTTTCCACTAAAGGATTGTTCAGGAAACGGAAAGAAATAAAAGCAAGGAAAAATAGAGAATATTCAGTAAAACACAGATCAAAATTCTGGAAGTATTTTGTATTCATGGCTGGATGCAAGTACTTTTATCCACAGCGAGTCTTAACAAGTAGCAATAATTTGTACAGGCCACGGGGGGGCACCAAGTGGTTTAGATTTTACAGAACTGGCAGGAGAGAAAGTGGAGATTTAACTGAAGTTTCACCTGTGTAGCTTTGCTTAACACAATTACGCCAGGCCCTGCACCTTTGAACCACAAGCTGTTATCCTGAATTGCTTTCACAAAGATGGTTGCAACCAAACATAATTAAACCAAATAAAGTTAAACCTTATTAAGACTGGAAGTTCAAATTCCGTAAAACCAAAGGGCTTTTAGGTATCACACCTGCCTCTGTGAGTCCAAGACCTGTACCCACGCTCTGGCCATGAGCATAGCAATAACCCACTGGAGGACACGTGTGGCTTCAGTGCTTCAACTTTTCAAGACAGGCAGGTAAACTGAAAATAAAGTCTTGTTCGGAGAACCTTAAACTAAGGACAGGAAAAAGGGAGAGAGAAAAACTGACAGGCTGTTCTCAGTTTTCTGCTGAATGTTTACATACCAAGCCTGACCTATGGATATTTTAACCCTTCAAATGCTTTTGATTTTGACATTTGTGTCATGCTGTGTCCCTAGCACCATTAAATTAAAGCTGACATTCAAATATTATTTAACCTTTGAAAATTATTTTAAGTAATACTGTTATATAATTTGACAACAAAGTGGACGTACAGAAACCAACTCACATACACTGTTTCTAGCAATATCATTTGGACAATCCCTTTATCACATGGGTTCCCAAAGTGGAATCATAGACTGTGTTAGGGGCCTGAAAAGTCTTAGTATGTAGGAATGGAATACCAGTCCTTCTCTTCACAGTGAAATTTAGCAGATTGAAGAAATGAAGCTTGTAAGGAATTTTTATGTATCACTATCTATCTCAGGTAGCTAACCGTTGCTCTTCTGCAGTGAAAAGAGAAAAAAGAAAGGGATCTAATTAATTTGGTTATTCAGGATTAAGGGAGATGTCTTACATAATCACTAATGGGAGCAGTAAACTTGTGATGCATGAAGATGTGGTCCCTATTTAAAAATTCTGTATTTGTGTATGTGTAAATATAAGTATAAATATAAAGGCTCCTGCATAAAATCATAGCATGGTTGGGGTTGGAAGGGACCGTAAAGATCATCTAGTTCCAACCTTCCTGCCATGGACAGGGACACCTTCCACTACACCAGGTTGCTCAAAGCCTCATTCAACCTGGCCTTGAACACTCCCAGGGATGGGGCATCCACAACTTCTCTGGGCAACCTGCTCCACTGCCTCACTACCTTCAGAGTGAAGAAATTCTTCCTTCTATCCAATCTAAATCTCCCCTCTTTCACTTTAAAGCCATTGCCCCTTGTCCTATCACTACATGGCCTTGTAAAAAGTCTCCCTCCAGCTTTCTTGTAGGCCCCCTTTAGGTACTGGAAGGCTTATAGAAGGTCTCCCCGGAGCCTTCTCTTCTACAGACTGAACACCACCAACTATCTCAGGTATTGAGGTGTTTAAACTGAATTTTTACTTTTGGGCAAAGCCCTCAAGAACTAAAACAGTTTTTGATTGAAAGGAGCTTCTCTGAAGCGTCAGAGTACATTAATGTGTATATGCAAATAAGCATACCTGCCTAGCCTTGATCACTTCATACTTTTCATCCTATAGATTTCACCTCTCTGCCTGCCTTAGCTCGCATCCCACTATACTCTGAAGGACAATGCTGTCAAAAGAGTCCTCAACAGCCACTTGGACGGTGCCACTCCCCATTTGAAATGCTATCTCTGGCATTGCTGTTCTGTACAGTTCCAGTTTCTTGGTCTCTGCTGTTAATTTTTAATGGATTCATTTTCCTCTGCAAAGAAAGAAGGATGAAGTACACTGATTTCTTCTGGTCCTATGGAGGATGTATGTGAGTCCAAATATTTGTGCGGATCACATACAAAAACATTAACTGCTAAATTTCTCAAATTACTTCTGAGCTCTTTGAAGGACTTAAACCGACAAAGGAGTAACATATGGTCAAGCAGTCTGAAAATGGGCCATTTACAAACAGGCCATTAGGGTTTCACATTTATACTGACTTTGAGCATTTGGAATCAGTCCAGAAGACTGTTATTGTTGTTGGGTTTGCCTTCTTTGCACATCTCCTCTGTGGTTTTGGGACTTACCTCCAAAATTTTTATTTTTCTCTCCCCACGTCCTTCAGAGATGACTGTCCTCCCCTTTACCACTGCTTTAAAACCTATACTTTGCAATGGGTATATGTTGCTTGGGAAAGAAGTGCATAACTGGATGGTTTGGAAAACAAAAGAAGTTACTGTATCTAAATCCAAGTCACACATTCTCAACTCCCAGGAATATTTTAGTTCCTAAATGCCTTCCTCAGTGTACAAGCAAATGCCAGGTTGCGGTGGTTATCTAGTCATTTTGATGCAGACCTTAAGGCTGCAAACATAACAAACATCTTATTCTTAAAACATACTGATAAAAGAGAAAAAAGCAAAAGAATAAAAAGAAAAAAAGAGAAGTAGGTTTTTTTGTGGCAGTTTATATCCATAAAAAAAGAAAAGATTGTGAAGAGGTAGTTGCAGATATCTTTAGTCTTCCATATAGAAGCTTGCCAATCGCACAGCAAATAGGGTGGCTTCTTAAGGATCTGCAGTGGTTTTTTCCCTCTGTACTATGTCAGAAGGTCATCACTGTTGAAAATCTCAAATCACTTTGTAAGCAACACCTGGCTATGCAAAAGAAGCCTAACTAGAAGTCTGTAAACACTTGATAATCTTCCTACAGTCTTCTATGACATAGGAGCTGAAGTGTCTTTTTTTTTCCCTAGGTGATCACAGCATCTATATTGGGATATGTATAAACTCAGAAACGAATTGAAACCCCAGGTCCCAAATCTCCGAGTAAGGCCCAGCCCTGCATCTGAACAGGCGTGCCTTAGCTGCTATTGTGTCGCAGGACATTCCTGTACTGAACAGGAATGACATGCCCTACACACAGGTATGCTGATGTATGAGAACTACGTGATGTATGACCGTGCTACTTCCCTTGGGTTCCAGCCCAAGGAACTGTTACAAACCTCTGCTCTTCTGCCTGTCTCTGTGTGCTTGGCCCTTTACCTGGGGCAACTCCTGAATAACACAACGGAGAGAGAACTTCTTCCGTCTTCCACTCTGTTTTCCACTTGAAGGCTGCAACACCAGCTTCTGCCACAGTTCCTAGGTCACTTCTCATTCTACCTATGTCCACTCTACGTCCCATTGTAACGCATGCAGCTTCAGAAATAATGCTGGCAACTAGAGAGCTTCACTTAAAGCACAGCTAGAAGTCCCAGGTACACAAGATACAAGTACCAGCTATTCTCTTCAAAGACGGCCTTTGCCAGCAATGGGAACACAAAAGCTGTTATGTATCAAAGCAAGACGCTATGACGTTTAAAAGAAAGCAAGTTTCCAAGGCCAAGCACTGGGACAAGCAATGTTAAAGTGAAGTTAACAAGTGAAGTTCTAAATTACTTTTTGTTTGGAGACTTGTCTGTAGATTTGAAAATATAAACCAGTGTCAGGCTGGTTTATGTACTTCGTTACTACGCTACCAAAAGTAAAGTCATGACAATAAATCTGGAACCAAGGATAACTCCTGAGAAGAGAGGAATATGGGCAAGATATGAAACACATTTGAAAATGTTATTTTGCAGCTACTGATATGGCTTTATCAACATGTCTGCAAACTCGCAAGAGATATCTTAAATACTGTGAGAAGAGGGAGCAAATGAAATGCAATTATTTCTTGAAATGTAAGCTCAACAGAGAACTGCTGGAGATAGAATTGACTTTTTTTAAAATCTGCTTTGGAACCCACTGAATTTAATCATCACCCATCTGGGAGGACACATGGTGAGACAAACTAACTTAATGGTTCCAGTTTGACAGATGTATACAGTGACTCAAATTCTGCACTTAATTACCCCTCTTGCCCTTTCAAAGTCGCAAACATAAGGTCATAACTTACTTTCCTCTGCACACCAGGGAACGCTTTAGTCCTTAATGAAATATTAAACATACACACTCAACTCAACGAGCCCTTGGAAATCTAGCTGTCTGAATTACCTTTACAAATAAGGGAACATATTAGAGCTTTACTCTGGAGTCAGTATCTTAAGAAAAGATTGATTTGCTTAGCCTTCTTGAACGGTGTTATCACAGAAGATATTAAAAAATGGTCTGCAGCTATGATTATAGGAAGATAAGTGTTTTTTGGCTGGACAGTCAGGGAAATGTCTGGGAGGCAAAGCAAGAGGGAACTTGTTAAATGTAAATACCGGCCTGTGGAAATCAGCCTGATAAAAGGCCATGTAGTTAATACGGGGTTTCCAACCCTCTATTTTTCCAGTGAGAGATTTAGCCCTGCTTAAAAACTTGGCATCACATTAAAATAATTTCAGTCTCTTGAAATCAAACCTGAGAGAGAAACCCACTAGAAACTGTAATGGTAGCCTAGTAAAGTGATAGCAAACCTTGTACCAAGTTTTCATCGGAAGGGTATGTATCAGATTGCCACAAGGATGACAGAACATCAGATTCGCCACTGCTGTCAAATTTATTTCTGAAAGCTTCATTAAGGATAAAAATCCAATTCAGGTATGTATATAGTCAGTTAAAAATTATAATGTGATAAAAATGAGAAGCAAAGAGGGTACCCTCCATCCCAGAACCTTTTCAAATCGAAAGAGACTTACTCATGCAGCAATTTCACAACAGTGGAAGAAGCCTCTCTTAGGAATTAATCTGTTTAGTACCACAACAGAAAGGACTGTGTGTCTGCAGAGAGTTTGGTATACTAGACCAGACACTTAGCTAATGGATATTTTTGTAAATATTTAGAGCCAAGTCATGGATCTTCCCTCATTAGAACTTTCCTCAGACTTCATAAAGATGCAAGGTATGCTTGAATTTGACTTCACTGCTACAGATAAGAATATTTGTAATTTAGACTGGCACTAGGTATGTTTTTTAACATAAAAAAAACCCTTCTTTTATAAAAAGTAAAAAAAAAACCAAACTTCTTTTTTACAGCAGAAATAAACTTAGTACTTATTCATAACAATGTTAACAAACTGTAAATTGTACACATTTTTTTTTTTAAAAAAAGGTGGATTTTAAACAGGAAACAAAGAAACAGCAGAGGTAGACATGCTCAATTAGTTACTGTATCATAAATGCAGCCCAACGACCTTAATCTAAACATGCTATCAATGCATACACATTAATAAAATAAAGTAGTCATGAGTAAACATATTTTCCCTGAATAAAACCATTAAAGTGCTCTGGCTTAATTTCAGGGTGAACTATGGCCCCACATTGTAGAAATTCCAAATTCCTGGACTTGTCTTCTCTAAAGATTAACACAAAACAAATGACAGTTTCAATCCTGCCGTGATCTGAAATTGTGATACTACGTGGGGGCAAACAAGAAGTACCCCTATTGAACCCAGCTGTCCAAAACCTGTCCAAAACCTGTTGTCTGTGCTTTCTGTTGTGTACAGAAGTTACGGAGAGTAGATAAGTAGCAAGCTTATTTTCCCTTGCTGTCCCAACACAGGTTACCCTAGAAAGCAAATTCCAGTCACCTTGCGGATGTGCTCCTGCAGTCCCCTGACCCCGTACATCCTCAGCACGAACCAGAGCTTCAGGGAGCGGAACCTCCTCCCCAGGGGGATTTGCCAGTGCTGCAAGCCAGGGAGAAGGGAGAGCACCCACGTTAGAAGTCACTGTTGCAGTGATACTGCAGAAACTCTACATTCTGCGATGATTTTGAAGCGTACTGCGTTGTCACATCCTACAAGCAGTTGCTAGAGGTGGGTTAAATTATAATAGAAATGTCTGTTTCTGGTTAATGCCCTGGTGTGACTGTTTAATACTTAAAATTTTCAAATGAAAATTGGAAAAACAGATTGGTGTCAGAAGGGAAGGATCACAAGGCAAATCAAATTTTCTTTGTGCATCCTGAATTCTTCTTGAAGGCGTTGGAAGAATAGGTATCTTAGAAGCTCATGTATACTGGCTTGCTTACAGTTGTGGGGCTAGCATCTACAATGACAGGCTCATTTCCGTTTCAAAACAACAGTGTTTCTATTGGTTAAAGGTTAAAACACAAGTACATTTAAAAAACTTATTATTCACTATGCTAAGGAAAAAAACCTTTAGGACATTTCTTTCTACTGCCTAAACCTTGAGATATTACACATGCAAGATGATTCCTGCTTTTATACAATTTATTTATTTTTTTAAATGGAGTTTAAAGTTTCAGCTTGAGGAACATTAAAAATTTAGCAAGCTGCATCCTTCCTGGAAAGAAACATAAGGCTGTGATGTTTATGACAGTAATAGAAAAGAAAAGTCCTGGAAATATCAGTGTATACAAGTAATAGTATTAACTGATGCTGTACTTACCCGATAATCTGTTACAAGGCCTGGAAGTTAAAAAAAAAAAAATTCACATTGCTTCATCACAACAGCCAAAACCTACAATCATTCTAGTTCTATTGAAAAAGCTGCTGCTTTTAGCTGTTTTTTTACATTTGCGACAAAATTCAGCATCATCAGTGTCAACAGGACCACTAAATACCTAGACGGGTACTTGACAGCATGCTAAATGAAGGTGCTTGTGGTAACCTTAATTCTTTAGCTAGTCAGAATATACCACTAAGAAGTTAAACAGTTTTCAGGACAAGAAACACAATTTTCCTTTCCGTTACACCTCAGATCCTCTGGAGATGATGAACTAAATACTGTGTTTATTTTCCTCTTGTAAGGAAAAAAGTAGTAGATAAAACGGCAATTATTAATTTTGTTTGAAACAGTTTGCAGACTCCCCAAACTCACTTCATCACTCATTCTCTGCTTCTAGCTACCTTTTATACTCATTCATGTTTGTTGCTAATTCTTTAGCATGTTTAATGAGTGACTTGGACATTTGACTCAGAATTGATCTCTTCCTGTTTGGAGATAAGTATTCTGCATTTTTTTATGGCTTTTCGTTTGATGTTGTGAAAGCCCCTTACAAACACAAATTGACTGAGCCACAGAGCAGGCCAGGGAGGCAAATAGAGGGCATTATGAGTTAGCTTTTATATGAGCATATGGAGTCAAGATGCATGTACCTTTTCTTTGAATCAGGTAGTTACACTGATTTCATAGTGAAGGCAACTGTAACATAAAGCTGGATTATATTAGGAAAAATTTCTTCACTGAAAGGGTTATCAAGCACTGGAACAGGCTGTCCAAGGAAGTGGTTGAGTCACTATCCCTGGAGGTATTTAAAAGATGTGTAGATGAGGTGCTTAGGGACATGGTTTAGTGGTGGACTTGGCAGTGTTAGGTTTATGGTTGGATTCTCGATGATCTTAAACGTATTTTCCAACCTATATGATTACTTGCAGTAAGCCAGTGACAGAAATCAAACTGACCTAAAATGTAAAGCACTTCTTTAGGAAAATGTGGAAGCATCTGCTTAGCTTTCTTATTCTGCTTTCTTATTCTGCAGCGGAGTATAAGCTTCATAGGAAAGTATGGACTTAAAGTCCAAGAGAAAGTGCGGTCCAAGTGCTCCTGGAATTATGAATCACAAGGTACTATACAGAACTGTAGCTTCTGAATTTGATCAGTTTACGTCATTTACGTAATTCTCAGCCTTTGTATCTTCTGGGAGTAAAAAAACTATTTCCTATGTTACAAGCTCTCTTGCCAATGTTCTCTCGTCTATGCAGCCAAAACAGAAGAAAAAACATGGTCCTTCCTCCCTGCAACATACAGTCATTTGGTTCTTTAACCCGTTACTAGGTTATTTTCCAGATTAAAAAAAAAAAAAAAACAACACACTAAAACCAACAATCATTAACCTGTTTCTGGACTTCAGGAAATGAACATGGTTGTCTGAGCTCGGTAATGAGGTAATTTGATAACATTCATGTTCTTCTGCAGCGTAGCAGCCATTTTTATTTGATAGCTGCAAGACTGGTAGCAAAGGGAGTAAAGCAACTAGTGACAGATAAATAATCCCACGCTCCTGTAAGGGGCTATGTCTAATGATCCACAACAACGCCTTTCACAAGCTGTGAAGCAGAATGCAATCAATGATTAGTCCTTGATTACAAGCCTTAGTCTTACATCTGTATTTAACCAGGAGGAATTGGATTGTGGGAGCATATGTGGCATTCACAATAGAGTATAAAGCTGCATTCTTCTAATATTGCCATTAGGATTTGACCTATATCCTGTGTTGCAGGGCAAGCTAGTGTAATCTTCCTGGTGTGATGATGCAAATCACATAAAATTATAATTAATGACAAAATAAAGACTTTCCCCTTGGGGGCACACATAATTGCCATACGGTTATTACGAATAATTGCTCACAGATAGATATATTTTTCTGCTCATTTAAATTCTTGAGTGAAAGATGAGCAAATTGAAAAATGCTTCTTCATTTGCCTGGTAAACCATGATGAGAATTCTCAGACCTAAGACGCACTGAGAATACAAGATCCTCCATTGGACAAGTCATATTTCCAGGAGTGCTGACGTCCCATAAATCACATAGGGATCAACGGGAACTGTAACAGCCTAGCACCTTTTCAAATTTGGCTATTTTTATTGAAAGCGTAAGTGTGGATTGGAGTTAACAGTTTAACTAGATGCATTTGTATTTTAGAAGTGTTGTCCAACTCTTTGGAAAATTGATATCAAATGGCAATAGAGCATAGAAAAATTTAGCATCACTAGACTGCTAGTAATCCCCTGATCTATTTGGAATCATTATGTCCAGATCATATAACACACTGTCACAGCTTCTGAAGGCAAGATGAAGGCTGAACAACTTATTATCCAATGGGAGAGATAAAGTTTTTAGGTCAACTAGGTGGCCTCACGGAAAGTACCCAGTTTTAAGAAAGGTTTGGTTTTCTTCCGGTGTTACTTAACCTGGAAAAGACCTAAGATTCTTATATTAGCACTGCCAGTTGTCTCAAGAACATATTTTCACTTTAGATCAGGTTGGATTTTTTTCTCCTGAAGAGAATTATTTTGCGTGTATGTTAAGTAAAAGCTAGTGACTTAAGTATATTTGCCATAACTTGTATTTTTCATTTAAAAAGGCAAAAAAAAAGTATATATTTTTTCTTAACAATTCTAGCCTTTGGAGCGTGAACCTCAGCTTCAGAGTTACTGCATTTTCCTGTTTATGGCACTGTTCTATACTTGCATTTCTTGGAAATGTAGAAAAGGAGTAAACCACAAAATTTCTGCCAGTTCAGGATTAAGGCACAGGAATCCATTTTTTCTAGGGCTTTTTAGTGAATGGTGACATTCTGGATAGTATTAATTTAAATGTCAATGAGGTCATCGCCATAACAGAGAGAAGAGTACTCAGGATACAATTCTGAACACAGATCAGCATCAGCAATTCCAGGAAAAATATGACAGACAGTAAATGGTAAGAACATCCATGTGTGGTTCACCCTCTTGACAAAGTTATGAGGGAACCTGCACCACATGTTGACACTGCACTGGTGCGACCTTCTTCACAATTAATCAGTTATTAACCGAATGTGTAAAAAACAGGCTTCAGGATGGCAAATGCCACTCTGCAGTTGCTAGGGTACGTGCAAGGAGCAGCACTAATCCATTAAGCAGCTTTCTACTGGGCCTAAGATTTGTAGGTTCTTTGTGATGATTTTGTGAAGAGCTTTCATGACCATTTTGTACAAGACAGCCTGCACTTACCTCCTTCTCTACAATCCATGTAAGAACATGGGAGCAACAGGGTAATGTCTCAGATAGCTATCATTCAAAATAGAGCAGAGATATCAAACACAGCTCACCTATTCTTTGTGGTTTCAGGGAATGTTTGCTCCTGACATGGGTATTTGAAAATTTGAATCAGAGCTTGCATGTATAGCTAAGAAAAAAGGTCACAGACTTTAGAAGCCCTAAAAAGAAATCAGATCTTGAAACCATTCTGAAAAAAGATATGTTGGGGGAGGCAGGTTAAGGAATTTGATACACAGCACCCAGTATTTTATCTGACTACCAAAAGATCATTAAGCATTTTCTCAACACTCTTACAAAGAGTCAGTGGTAAATCTGGATCTGAGGAAATCCCAATACAAAAGTATTAATATAATGCTTTATAAAATGGCTTTCCATCAATTGCTTTTTATACTAACTAAAATCTCACTAGATATGTGTTTGCACTTTAATAAGCTTAACTCCCTGGGACACTCTGAAAATGGAAATAGGTTCCTAAACAACTTAGGTAGTTTTAAGGATTTCAGTTTTCATCTAAAATCCTTTTTTCCATTAAATATCAGTGTGCAAAGAAAATAATAATAATCTCATTTAATTACGAAATTACCAGACTCCTGATGGTGATGCTGCAGGTAAAGAGGTTCTAATTTAAAGGCACCTGTTAAATCTGATCTTTTTTTCACCCTGTATAAAACAGAAAGAAATAAAATTGAGAAATTTAAGAATTAAAATTTAAGGCATTAAATTTCCACAGGATTGGAGGCAAATTGAATGTGTTTAAACTGGCGGATTTCCTGAGCACAGCCTGTGCCATTTGCAGTGCTTTCTCACAGCCATATCGGTACTGTACTTACAAGTGGTTAAGTGTAAAGCTAAAAAAAACAGCATGACTGCGCGACTGCATATTTAAAAACAGACAAGAAACAGGCACAGAGGATCTTTTTATGGTGATAGACACTCACACCAGAATGTGAGACTAGCTGAAGCAATGTTAATGTTTGTAGTCAACAGAAGTTGCCTTGAAATTACTGCAGCACGAAGCTGTGTGGGAAGAGCTGTGGCTTCCTCGACACCGTGCACAGCCGTGCTGAGGCTTTGTGGATGCTGGCCACTGTCTCTCCACGCCGCGGGGGTGGCAGCAGCAGCAGCCACTTGTAGGGACGAGCCACCCAGTCCAGACTCAGGCTTCCCTCTTGTATCACCCTGCCCTTAGCTGGATGCAATATACAATTACTGACAGACATGCTGCAGCACAACGTACAACTGAGAAGCATACCTTACTGTTGCCAGCTAGTGGGTGATGTGACGACTGAGTTTCAAAAGCCAGTGTGTCCCTTTTAGAAAGAATAAGCTACATTTTGCCAGTGGGCAATAACAAGATTTTGCTGGTTTATGCTTTACTTTGTGTGTAAGATTGACTCACCTCTACAAATGATGGAGTTTACAGAGGCAGAAAAAGAAGAAAGCAGAAATCAAAAAGGGAGAGACTGCTACATAATTATATTAGACCTATAAATATTTCACAATGTAAGCAATAAATATGTCAACATGGGGATACTCTAAATGACAAAACTCCAAACCTTTTCTGATTTCCTATGCATCTTTTTTTATATATTTTTTTAATGTTTTTATGTAAAATTCTAAGTAAAAATCTAATTTCCAATATTTTAGTGTGTATGTATAAATGCACAGGCTGGTACACACTCCCAGGCTCATCCACATCTAGACTATGCTCATAAAACATCTTACTCAAACAAACAAAAAGCCCTCCTCTCACTTTGATGGTCAGGAGAGTACCAAGGTTAACAAAGTACTTGCCTTCAGGTATGGAAAGTACGTAGCTGAATATAAGTAAGCTTATGCACATGACAAATAGTAAAAGACATTCAGAATACTCTCAGTAAAAAACATTAATAAGCTATTTGTGTGTTGAAAATATCCTGTGGACAGAAGGAAGAACCTATTATCTGAAAGTACGTTTAATTAGGGTAGATATTGTGAACCAACCCTAAGTTATTCTGCTGTAGTTTATTTGATTACTTTGATATATTCGTGTTTCAGTAGCTCATTCCATACGCAACTAACCCAAGTTACAAGCAATATCGCTAGTCATAGAATAAATTATCTTTATTCCTTCTCCTGTAATATGCTATGCTAAACAATGGAACACATAACTATTCTGCAGGAACATCTGGTTGCTCAGAAGCTATAAAAATGCTGTCATCTTGCACTTCCTTGGTGATGCTACTGCTTTTTTAAAAGATCGTGTCTGTTCCATCTGGGTATTTCACAGGTCTTCATCTGGCAACCATGAAAAACCATCTAAAAAGATTACTAAAATAAATCCAAAGCCTGGACATCGATGCATAAGAACCAGTTGAGTTCCATCTCTATATGCCATGACTATATTTCACCTTAAGTGTTTAAACTTCTTTTTCAAGGCCTGATGTTATGCTAATAGACCTCCTAAGACCTAGCTTGAGTGGAACAGATTCACATATGAAGTACTCACAACACAAAATGTGCAAGAAAAGTCCTGGTGAATAAAGCAATGAAAATTTGTGAAAAGTGACTTACTTGGATTGCACATCTGGAACTTTTAACAGCCTCACTCTATTCTGTCCATTTTAACTGATAGATACAATAACCAAAAAGTTGACTTCATATTATAAGCCAACAGGAAAATTTCACTTCCATCTACAGATAAACACCTCCTATAAGCAACTTCCTTTCAAATACTAAACCAACCTTCCCAATCAAAAGTTAACACTTAAACCCTGAAAAGAGTAATAGAAAAGCAAAAATACCAAAACTGCAAGATGATTATTTTTATTCTCTCTGAAAGACGACGCATCTTCCTATTTTATAATATTCCAGAGCATCAATTAAGTCAGGCAAAAGTGACTGGTAGTTTCACGGCAGAGTCTCTAAAGGAATCCAGCATTTGAAAATGGAAAACATATCCCTCTTGGAGTGATTATATTGAATTCCTTTGTATAGGAAATTGAATTCTATCTTCTGTACATCAAGAAGTCTGAGAATATTTTACAAAAGGTTTATAATGAAATTGCCTCCAAATCCCAAATGACATCAGTGTTACCCATTGCACTGAGTAGTTAAATAATTACATTACAGATCTAATGGCTAGATTATCTTAAGCAACTTGCAGGGAAAAGAAATGGGAGTGTTTACTGGAGAAAGTGCTGAGGAGCCTGGGTGATTTAGAAGTCTGTCCTTCAATGGGTCTTAGCTTAAATTGATTCTGAAATGGTGTTCACTCTTTATTGAACTTGTTCTGTATTATTACCATATCACATTTAATATTTTCCATGGATCCTAAGAGGACTATGTATCCTTCACAATTACTTTTTCTCATCAGGTTCCTTCATCCCTTATTACGACATTTCAAATGAGCTTTCACCTTTTCAGGCAGTGTTACAGTTGATAAGAGGTAAATTTTGGACAGGGGCCTTAGAAGTAGCTGGATTATGGATTTGGCTTCAAGTCAAAGAGGTTAACTTTAAATGTACACTTCATTCTTTATTAAGTGAATAACCCCTATACATAAACACCTTGCTGAAAAGACACCTGAATGACTATAGTTGTGAAGCTTTCACTTTGAGTAAGGAGACATGTTGCAAGGTCTCTTGAGATTCCTTGTGATGGAATCTTCCTACCTATGAAAGCATGCATTTAATGCAATGGCTTATCTAAAAAAAGCAAGGAACAAAATGGAGAAAAAGCCCTTTCCTAAGTCTAAAGTCTAAGATCTGCTAGGAAGAAGCTAAAATCTCCTGAGATGAGAACATAAACTGACAGATGGTGTGATTCTGTATACCTTGTTTTCCTGGAAAGCCAGGTAAAACACTTTTAACATAGTTCCACAGGGTTTTCAGGGAAAGCAGAATTAATGAGAAATTAAACTGGTAGGGACTAGACTCTGGCCTCCAATTGTCCTACAAACATTAAAGAGAATGATGATGTATTTTGTCATTTCTGAGTGGCTCCTTTGTTAACAGTGTCTTGCAGTCATGAGAAAAAGATTGGAGAAACTAGCAAAGGAGTTCCATCATCTTCCTATTTCCGTATACAGGGAGAGACAGCTAGTTATGAGGTACTTATACACTGGTGTCTTGGGCTACTCACTGCACTCCTGATGAATCAGGATCAAAATGTAAGCCATTTACTCTAAGGAAAAGAGAAAAAAACCCATAATGGATTGAAATATTTGAAGTGCCTATGTCAGGAAAATTATTAAAGTAAAAAAGGTAATATATTATCTGAATAATACACATCTTTGTGCAAAAGCCAACTTTGCTGAGGATTTAAAAAGAGCTGAAGGTTAAGTAAAGGCAACTGAGTGATCACTGTCTCACATTTATTCTTTTAAAAAAGGGAACCATTTTCTGGATGATGTTTTAGAGTCTTCTTTTTAACATCCAGTTTTTCCTTCTTTTTTAATTTTTGCATATTCTGTTCTATTATAACTGAAATTAATGTTTTCATTTATTTTAGTAAATAGCCTGCATTTACTGAATAGCTGTTTTGCTAGTAAGTATCATTAGTCATGATGCTGGTAGACAGCATGTTCTGGAGATTCCAGTTTGGGACAGAATAGGATCATCTATTATGGGATATTATTATTACTGCTATAATACTTCGCTTTGTTTCAAAATATGTCTACTGGTTTCTACTTTGGCATCTTTTTATATCAGAATGCCATCTCTGCTGTCATCTGGGGAAACTGAAAATCAGTACAAAATTGCATAGAGCGCCCTTTTTGAAAACAACTGCTTTTCATCAGCCAAATCTCAAGCATTTTTAGAAAGGCTTTTGAAAGAATCAAGGCTCAAACAAAAAGAAATTTTATGGAAAAGAAGAAAAAATTCTGTTTAGCATGCTGATCGTTGCATTAACATCCTTAAATGAAGTTTTTTCATTTATGTTTTAAACAGTTCCAAAATGGACCAAGTATGAATCTGCAGACTTTTCAGGATTTCTCTCTCTCTGGAACATAATGCAGAGCTCAGGCCTATTTCTAAATTTTACTTTTTTGAAATTTGGATTAAATGAAAGAGTGAATATTGTAAATCATTTACAAGAGTTAAAGCTATCCAGCACCCCTCATTTCAATAAAGACATGTAAACAAATGTCTACTGCTAAAAAGACAGACTAATTTAACATTTGTTTTTCGTCCCTTGTCATGTTTTCTTTTACTGTAATACTTACCACATAGCAGAGCAGTCAAAATTCACTAGGAGCCATTTGTGAGGATTAAAGTTAAATGAATCTGCAAACTGAGAATGGATAAATAAAAGCAATTATGAAAGAGAAAAGGATCCATGTGCTACTGATACAATTTTGTCAAACTGTCTGAGTACATCTTAACTACAAAAGAATTCCTGAATTGGGGCTTTAGAGATAATGTCCATGCTAACATCACCTTACTTAATAACTGTTGTAGTTAAATCTTCATTTATTTTGGGGATGGAATTCAGGTTAGGTGTGCAACTAGGCTATTGGTATTATCAACATTTGAGCATTTGCCAAAATGATACTTTTTAGATATATATGTTATGGAAAAGTATATATCTCAGTTTAAACTAAAAAAAATATATATATATGCATACTCAGAACATCCACTGTGGTTCATATCTCATTTTCCAATAACAATTCACTAAGCTTTCTATTTCCAAGAATATTAAACATATACTCACAAAATTCATACATAGAGACAAATGATAAATTTCGTTCAGAATCTGTGTATCACATTCATTCATAAAATTACAGTTGATCAGGAAATTACTTTTTTTTTTTTTTACTGCTAGAGTATTTTCTTTTAGTAGAAGTCATTTTTTCATCTAAGTGAAAAGAAAAACCAACACCGAATAAGCAGTCCCAATATATGTTTATATAAATCATGCAATGGGTCTGTTTTACTTGACATATGTTTAGGTGTGGCGTCAGAGGAAACCCAGTAGGTAGGACGGGCTTTGTGTGGGAAAGGCTTCATCCATGTTTTGAGTGTTAACAAAGGCAGAAGGCATCAGTTTTAAGAAAGAGATGGGGGCCTGGCAGCACCAGAGTCTGACTACTCCACATAGCACTCTTCTGTTCTCGTTTGCTTCTCATAACCTTCCCTGTCAGTTGTAAACATCTAGCAATTGCTCTCATAAGAGGAGATTATTTGTCTGTCTGTCTGTCTATCTATCCATCTATCTCCCTGTACTACGTAAGGTAGGAAACCTATTCATGGTTGTTAAATATTTACTCTTATGACAAATGCTTGCCCAGACAAGGGATGCTGTTTCATTTCCTTCAGAAACCAATAACAATAATTTAAAAAATATTCCCCCACAGGAAATTACAACAAGCTTCGTTGGCTGATAAAAAAGAGACAGAAAAAAATGCTTTATTTGTGAGGGGGTTTTCCCTCCTCTTCTTCATTAGTCACCACCTATCAGTGGTGTGTTTAAACTTCTGGCTTTACCAAACAGTAATATTTTCTCCACTGATGTGAAAGAAAGTGACTTATCTGACTGTCTGAGGGGAGCAGCAGGAAATTGAAGTATTCTTATCTAAGCAACTGAATGCCAAGTAGCTCAGTGAGGGGGGAAAAAGGAACAGGAGTGCCGTTGGGGGAATATTTCATTTAGCTCTCTTGGTTATTAAACTCTGTCTGTTTGAGATACAGCTACTGGCTGTATCCTATATGACTTTCAGGATGTAAGCAAAAAATCAGACATAAGGAACTCATTAATTTGTTGAATTTTTCTTCTTTTTTTGTGTGTAATGTAGAATTAGGGTGTTACAAACGTGCCTTTTTAGATATTCAGGAAAAAGTTCCTCTTTTCTATTTCGTAAGACACTCTGTTGATTCACGACTACTTGTTATTCTGAGTGACAAACTTTTACGTACTGTGGTAACTTGCATACTCCCAGAATAAACCAGTAAAAACCATATGAACATAAGTAACGTAATAGAATACACAGGGATTTGTCATGCAAACTGAAGTGCAGCGTACTCAGAGATTCTAGAACGGCCATTAATGCTGGATGCATAAGAACCACACAAAATCTATGGAAGAGCAAGGTTTTAGCAGGCTGCTAGAAAAGAAACACTCCATTCACCTCCACTCCATTTAAAAGATGCCTGAATTCAGGGCAGATGAATGCGCTCCCAGCATAAGCTGCATCAATATGCATCCAGATATTTTCCTTATTACCTAAAAAAAAAAAGGTAATTGAAGGGGAAATAAATTAAACAGCAGATTAAAAAGCCCTATTAACTTGCATGAAACCAAGTGCCTGAGAGATTTTTCTTTGATGTTATTATTTTCCCAATTTAAAATTAAATTAAAAGATTAAATGTTTCTACCATCTGGGTTTCCATTAATACATAAAGATGCATACATAATGTATTCTTCTTCTTTCCCACTTCTATTGGAACAGAGTCCTTGCATGTCTAGGTTTCTCTTATTAATATTAAGCAACATAAAATATTACATTATTTTGATTTAAGAACCATTATAAAATGCACTTCAAAAAGATGTATCTAGAGATGTAGTTATAATTTCTATGGTAATAAAACTACCTACTTTAGCAAGAGGAGCTAGAGTTTTAGCTGTGCTCTCCACTTCTAACTCATGAATCACAAACACGTTTCTAAACAGTATTTTTTACATACTGATATATGTGCACGCACATGCTTTTGAACTATGTGCAGCAAACTATTTATTTCAAGGACTGAGACACTTATGCAAGAGCAGGCATTGAAAGGTTAAGAAAGTACTAGTTTTGATTAGGTCACTGAATGGTTTCTGCAGAAATATTTTAGAATATGAACTTCTCATGTATTCTCTGTAATTTAGTATTCACACTCTGTTATAGATCACCCGTATTAATGCACACAGTAAGAATTCTGGTCTAAAAGTTGATGACTGAAGACCACATAACATCTTTACACTAGTCCCCAAATAATTCTGATTGGTATTTCCACATACACAGGTATATCCATTCAGATCTGCAATTGGGCACCAAGTTCATGCTGGAATTTGCATTCTTGTGAACTAAATTTTCTTTTTGCATAAATGTCTGGAAAAAGCCAATAAAATATTATTCATAACATCCACAACTTAGATTTATTTGAAAACATATTGCAAGTTCAACTAATTATTTTTAAATATACTTGGTTTGAGACACTGCCTTTACTTCATAGGACTGCTGCTCATGTATATTAAGAAGAAAATTCACCTGCATGCAGAAAAGCTAACAGGAGACTTATGATTTAAGTAATGCGTAATCCTTCTGTTGCATTTTCATCAGCCAGCAAGCATGTGCTTTTGACCGAGCCTTGCTGCAGAACAAAGCTTGACACAACAGACCATAGCACAGAAATACTTATAAAAGAGCCCATGATTCGGTCACTGTATTAAACACCTTGGTACTTGTCCTGTTTTTTTTGCAAGAGGAAGGGAATCAACGAAGGGGGGGGAAGGATTAAGGAGAATACATGTGAATTTTTGGTGCATATTTCTCTGTTTTTTGCAGTCGTTAGAACCAGGCAGAAACAAAACACTTGGTGCAGAGGAGAATTAGAGTTCAGTTTTTCCCTGGTCTTCATCACTGCTCTTCATGTGCTTGCAGGTAGAAGGGCTTGAAGAAAATGTTACAAACTGAAGCACTTACAATATTTTTTTTAACTGACAGCGTTCCAAAATATGCCCTCCCCCAAAAAAAAACCCTTGAGACAACATCCTCTGTACCCTTTAACAGTTTGAGAATGCAAGCTTGCTGCTTGACCTAATATTAGAAAGAAAACTGTAACTGAAAGTCTCATCTATAAATAGTCTTATTGGATTTGGGCACTGACGCTGCACAATGATCTGGAAATGACTCAGCGTGGCTTAAACTGGTATCTGCAATTTCAGAAAGTAGCAGCAAAGACTTACAAATAGGACCCAGTTCTAACAGTTTGTCAAAGGAGCAGCAAGGTGTGGTTCCAAGCGTTGCACAGAACTGCAGAGCCAAAAAAAAAAACAAAGGGGAAAAAAAATAAAGTGTTACAGCAAAGAAAATTATCAAATTAAGAAAACTGTCTGCAAAGGCAACAATAAACAGAGAGAACAGATGATATAGGGCAAACTAAATTGATTTTAGCCAATACTTATCCTTCAGTGGAACTTTTGAGAAGCTTCAAGCATCCATTGAGACGGATGGATAAAATCGAATGTTAATATAAAATTGACTGATAAGTAATGTAATATAGTCACAGTATTATATTAATGCTATATTTTCTGTCTCCCACATGCTTATCATGTGGCTCAATACTAACCTGACGCACTCAATTGTCAAAACAATTTGCAGTTTATGGTATATAAGCAAGCTCTGAACTTGAGCAACTTAAAAGTGCTGGAATTATTGTTGACAGAATGGATTATAAATTGTTACTGCCTGAATTAAAGAGCCACAGCTCTGGAACGGAGACTTGTAATTGATTTGTGCTCAATGGATCTGCAGCCTGGGACCTGTTCACTAGTAGCATATGTCCACTACTAGGTTTGCAAGAGTTTTTTCCAGAGAAATTTTTTGTCCCAAATTCATCTTAAAATACTGGAACCATTCTTCCTTCATTCTGTTAATGTCTCATTTAATGTATCCTGCTGCATGGTACACAAGCAGAGGCAACATAAACGCTGAAGTTTCACAGTAGAAAGAGAATATAACTAGGTGAAAATGAGCTATGGTAATTTACTGGGAATATACAAGTAGAATTAAAACCCTCCAAAAACCAAGTCAGTGGTTATAATAAGTGCATATAAACTGACATTATTTTATTTTTCATTGCTACACTTATGTTTTAAATACTTTGTCTCATTTTTGTAAGCACTAATAAAGGCTGGGTCTGTTTTTTACCTTGCACTGGATTTTTATATAATAAAAGACACTTTATAGTTTAAATAGGCTGATAATGTATGCTGGTTTTTAGTTAGAGTATTGAAGTACAAAGGAATTAGATCATTTATCCAAGGTCACACCTAAACTATAGTACAGCCAGGAGATTACTATAAAGATGTCCAATCCAGATTTTTTTTTTTTTAATTACTTTCGTACTTCTGGTTACTGTTTCTGCCAAGTGCACTGTCCATGCACTATCTTTTGCTTTTACTGTTTTTCCCTATATATCTGCAACTAGCCATATTTTTCAGGGGCGAAGAGGTGGTGCATGTCCCTCAGTGAATTCACAAGACCTGTAAGACAACAAAGGAACAACTAGATGATACTTGTCCATCCACTAGACCTTTCAAGAAACAAACATACTGCCGTAGCTAAACATAGATATGATTATATATTAAAACTCCATACAGTAGGTTTTTGTCTCACAGCTCCATAATGAGTAGGTACATAGGGCCTTTGGATTCACTGCTCTCCCTTGTAGCAGGAGTGATACCATCAGGAAATGTTTCCAGCGGTTCCTTTTCTGCATTGGATTTCTTTGACTCATCCAACATGCCAAGTAGTATCTTCTATCTCTTAAGCATCTGCTTAGTTTGTCCAGTACAGTAGGTCTTCCTGCTATACGAGAGAATGTCCTCATTGAAGAGCAGCATGCATTGGTGTCATTGCTGCCTTAGCTGCGGAGCCGCGGAGGGTTGGAGACATGTTGCCAGTGCCCAGCTGAGAGGTCCAGCTGATGGCTTGAGTGTGTGGGACAGAGTGGACTTTTGGCCTGTTCTGTTACAGTCATCGTGATGTCAGTAAACATTTCTGTAGCAAAGGATTTTGCTCATGTTTAGGTTACCTGATGTGGCCTTATCTGCCTTCAGCTTTAGTCTCTCTCTAGCACAACAAGCTTTCTACTTCTGAGAAAAATCATTTCATGTCATTATGCCAGTAGCAAACTGTTTGCTAAAATCCCACAATCTGTTTTAGCCTAATATCACATTTCACTTGCTAAGTGTATGCTCTTTTCTATTCTCCTAGCTCGGACATTCACATGCTGTCTCTCCTGCATTTCATTGATCTATTGTTAATTCTAGGAGTTCCCATTACTCAAAAGTTAAAAGATGCCAGCTTTTTCAGGAGAGTCTTTTTTCCTTCTTTTTTAAAAGGTGATACACATTTGCACTAAGTATTTCTGCTCTAAATAAACAGACTGCTTGATAGCTACCAATATTTCACCCTTATATTTGTTCCCTTGAACACTCATCCTTGTTCATAAATTGTCACTCACTTTCAAGCTAGAGATTCCCTTGACTTTTTCACTTCTACCAGCTATTGGATATTGGAGACTGTTACAAGTCATCTGCAGTCACATCTTGAACCAGGTTCTGTACACATCTCAGGACTAAGAGTTGGTTTTCCCTCTTGAGGTTCCCTTACTAGTCCTCCCAATAACTTCTCATGAAGTTTTAACATGTTTATTAATTTTTGCTTTTCATATTTCCCATCAAAGTTTTTTTTTTTCTTATTTTCATTCTATGAAATAAAGTGGCAACAGCACACCAGAAAGGCCTGACATCTTGGAAAAAATAATCTAATTATGAGGCAAAGAGTTGAATAAATGTGATGGGATTTTCATTAGCAAGTTCCAGGTTTTTAGAGAATTCATGAGAAGTGAGAGATGGTTGTTTTACTACTTATTAAACTAGATTCATCAAAATTTCTACACTAACATAAACATCTAGTAAAAAGGGCAGATGGATATGTATTCAAAAAAACAGAAATTTAAAAATATACATCCCAAAAATATTGAACAAATTCAATAATCTATTGCTAGAGAGGTAAAACTTCTCTTTTAAGTACACTTTTGAACACTTCTGCATTTATATTATACTATACACTTCAGAGATATTTTAAACTGTTTAATGGAAAGTATACAGATAGTACTCAATTCACATAAATTTATGTACAGTTTTAGAGGAAGTCATATCCTGCCTTTGTATAGGGCAGACCTGATTAAATGTAGTCGTATAAAACCCTGAAAACATTTTATCCCTGACAGCTCACATGTTCCCTCAACTTCACAATTACAGCAATATTAATAGCTACAACCATGTTTCATTGTACCAATAAAAAATACTGGCTATGGGAAAAGTTATTATTAAAATAAGCAAGGGACAATTCAATATTTTTTCCATATCAGGGTACTAAGAACCTGAGTTTGAAACAAACTCTGTTCTGGAAATGAGAAGCACATTGAACATATAGTTAATAAAATTTTGCTGCTAACCTTAATCTAATTTTTATACTGGGCCTTCCCATATTCCTGAGACACATGAGAAGAACAGAATAATTACAGTGCCTTGAGGTATGTTTATGAATTCTCTGGAAGTTTAATCATTCTTCGTGGGAGGTTGCTTTAAAAAGATTGCAGGATATTTTTTTAAAAAGGAATGTTTATATATATTTATCACATTATTGTCTACCTAAGGTATTCCCACAATCAGGAGAAACCTGCATTTCATCTTTGGCTAAACTACACATCTACAAATTGGGTCACAAGAAATGGAGGATACCATGATGTGAATTCTAATATTTCTATATGCATAAAGAATAGAGGTTAACACATTGGATTGGAAAATACCCAAATAAAGAGTGCACTACAGACTTAGTTCTGCTTTTATATCTAAATTTTGTGGTAATATGGTGTGGACTTTCTGAACAAGATCAGAGTGAAATTATCTTGGCTAGTCCAGTGATTAAAATAATGATGGAGATTTCACAACAGAAAGTTACACATTATTCTGATTAGTGTTGTACTGCAGTTAAAATACTCTCCTTCTAATCAGGATAAGGAATAGGTTGCTCAAATGAGAGATTATGTGGGTTCAAACATACGCTTAGTTGTTTAAATAATGGCTTATTCTGTAAAGCATACCTCAGTTTCTAAAATAATTTTGTTGTCCTGTCTGCAGGTGTCTAAGCCTCAAAGCTACTTGTTTTAATTCTCAGAAACCACTTAAAATGACAGCATCTGCTCTTGTCAGGACTCTCATTAGCCCGCCTCAGTACTACACAATGAATCTAACTCAATTTGTAACCTGCGTAACAGCAGCAAAATCACATTTGTGCAAAGGGCGGGGGGCAGGCTGCATCGCAGAAACGGGACTGATGGCTCAGTATCGCCCGCAGGCCTTACCCTTCTCAGGTCGTGCGCTTCAAATTTGAGTCAGCCCTGCTGCGAACATGAAGCAGCTAAAATGCTGGCGTCAGTCATCTCATGTACTACTTCCCTGAAATCAAGAGCTGTGTCAGGGAACATGCACGAATCTTTACGATGCCTGAGACCAATGACTCTCAATCTTCTCAACTGGAAGACCTCCTACAGCTTTTGAAAAAGATGTGGACGTGTTTTCCACGGTTTCACCACAAAGCTTTTCATTTGCAGTTAACTAAAATGAGGCAGAACTTTCAATGTTCTCGTGTTATTTTTATTTTTCCCCTACTGAGTTGTTTGCCAGCTTGCACTCATGAGAATGCCTGTGACTTGAAGAAAAATGCAACTGTTTACTAGACCACCATTCAGTATTTTACGAAACAGCAATCATTCACAAACTGTGCATTGAGAAACATCACCCTAGAAGCCTGTACATGTCTCGAGAATGCTTCCTCCAAACAGAAATCTGTGGTCAGGATCTAAGTGTTAACTTCTACTGAAGAAATGGCTCCTCTGTCAGTCTAATTCTGATTTATTGTTTCCCGAGCAAGTCTGGATACAAGCAGCCTGCTTCTTAATATCCTGCAGATCATCATTCAGAAGAGTAATTTCAGCTAGAATCAGAGAGATTTCATGCTGGACCTTTGTTCAGCAGCAAGGCGATCATGTTATAGCAGCTTTATACTGGATGAGGAAGTATATCGTACTATATATATATGTCAGCTGCAAGGAATCAGTGTTGATTTATGAAAGACAGCACAAAGCTCACAGGCCACTTACTTAAACACGTTCAAGTGAACTAAGCTTGAACACAGTGGACTCTACCTCTGAATTTAGCAGTACTTAACTTAGTGGTCTCCACTTTGAGCATCCCAGTCAACATTCATCCAACGTAGAGGCCTGTTTCAAGCTGGGAGCATAGGGCTCAACTGAGAAAGGTATTTATGCATGTGCTTCACCACCTGTTAGTTTTTCTAATTAATAAAATGGACATGACTTCAGCACATGCTTTAAAACTCCCCCTTAAGTGGTGGCGAGATGAAGGTCAAATATCAGCCATACTTGAAAACTGCTCCTTGGTAAATCATGGCAACTTTAGTGCCTCAGCACCTGACACGGTTAAGGGCTTTGTTTGCACAGTCTGCTTGCTTCACTATATGAAAATATCTCTGTTTCGATGTCTGCAAAAGTATTTTGAAAGAGACAAATTAACACAAGTCTGAACTCAGAAATAAAAAAGGAAACAACAGTAGAGGTCTGGGTACACTAACTGGCAATAGGCATCACTGAACAAAATTACATACACATTACTTGTTCTAAAAGATATTGACGGTGGATAGGAATTCAAAGACTCATTTTAAATGCCCTTCCCCCCAAAAGGCTGACTGCCAAATCTTATGTATATGAAAAGCAAACCTATAATTACCAGATTGCTGTAATGAGAGAACCTGTTTCACATCAAGCAAACACACTCCTGATTCTCCACTCACCTCTACAAGTGAAGCATTTCTATCAATTTCGGTATAACGATTCCTCATTTATTCGTTAAATATAGAGGAGAATCATGCCTATAAGGCATTGTAATTTTCTCATATTTTCTTTTTAACCCCCTACAAAATTTTTTTTTGCTGATAAGGGAGACTGCATCAGCTTGGATGCAACCAAGATCTCTTCATCAGGAACGACATCTCCGCTGTCTCTTCAGGCAGAATTTCTTCTGTTAAACTTTTTGCTTTGATGCTGAATCACTCCCCTTAGTGAAGGATCAGTGAATACTGGGAGACAAGGAATAAAGTGGCGTAAGGTGTTTCCTTGGCAATGTGCATATCTTTGTCACCAGCACAAAATAAAATAGCACCAAATTATTCCAGAACAAAAGAAATGGAAAGGCTTTTGAAATCTGCAAGCCAGAAAAGGGAGCACTAATATAGTGCATGGACTGCTGCTCAGCATGACAGAGAATTAACACACCTTTTGAGTTAAGAGGCCAACCATAAAGATAATGAGATCTAGTTTAATCTAAGCTGACATGTTTTATGTATACAAATAAATGGAAGACCTGGCACAGGCTATACTAACTCAGACTGAGCCGCTACTGTCTTTGAAAGCCTGTTTTGCACAGCTAAGCAAACAGAGGAAGAAAACCAGTTAAATCACCCTTTGTAAAGGTGTCACTGAATGCATAAACCAGAATTTTTTAGTTCTTCTTGCTACGCATAGAAAAAATAATAAGGAATGAATATTTATGTGAGGAAAGTTGCATTGTTTTTGTTAATGGACAAGAGATGAGGAAAAAACATTAAATTCATAATTAGTACACAGAGATGTGATATAGTGCTATACTTGTAGTTGTTTAAAATTAACAGTAAGAGAAACAAGTAGAATCTTATATAAGATATTATGAGCTTGTATCATATAGCAGAGAAATAAAACATGCCTTATGCCACAGCTCTGCTTTAATAGGTGCAGCCCGCAGAAGCGAGTTCATTTAGGCAGCCTTGTAGATGCTTTGTTTCCCAGTTATAGCCTTATTATATTGGAAAGTAATGATGGGATGTGCTTGATCATCCCAAGGACTCACTAGTTCTAGGCAGGCTAGAAATTAGCAGCATTCTGCACATATGAAAAGCACTTTTCACCCTAGTCATCCTCATACTACATAAAAACAAGCACTAAAGGTGAATAACAAGAAGAGGAAAAAGATTACATTTTCAAAAGACCTTGGTGAAATTGAGCTTCTTTGTCCTATTTGGCACTTATCCATGACTATAAGCAAGTTTAATCTGATAATTCTTCTGAAAACAGTTACTATAATTTAAATCACACTAGCCCTTTTCAAAAGTTACCACATGGAAGAAAAAAAACCTGTCATCAGGTATGACTTTTCTTAAAAAATCATGACATATTTTTGACTCTCATAAAAAATCTCATTTCTAAAGTTCTCAATTTCTAAATAGCTTTTTTTTCCTCAATTTTTCTTCAGTAGAGGTTAGCAAAAACATATTGGTAGCATATTATACCCCTTTATAGATCTACGCAGCTCATGGTCTATATCAAGTTTTGTAGAAGCATAATGTTTGGAAATGAATAAAAAATTTGTTTGATTATGTACAAAAACACAACAGAGGTTAATTACTACATGAAAAAACAAATGGTAAATTCTTGCTTTAACTTGAAATAATAGGATGGTGTTCTAAACTGATAGAAGTAGATCTGATGAATAACCATTACTCTTCTTGATGAGGTACTTAACATAGTAGAACTGAACTTTAGAATTGTATTCAATCTAACACTGTTCTATGTCAAAAATTGGGGGATTATGAGCTTTACCTACTGTGATTTAAACATTTGCTTTTGCTGGACTGCTGTGGAAGCAGGAATCTCTGGAAAGGAAAGTGGACAGATAACAAGAAATGATGACACCTTAAAACTTCCTCAGCCAGATTCCCCATAGCTCACCTGTTAGAGATAAGTCACACACTCACAAATACCTGTCTGACAAAGTCCGATCTTGCTGATATTTGGAGTATGTTATGGAGGTTGATTTCTTTGCTAAAGTAGGGAGGAAGAGAAACTACTTTTTCTTGAAAATACTTAAGTTTGAGATACCATAATTTAGTTTATTGCCTTTAAATTTGTTTTATGTGTAAGTAAATCAGAACTTGAAAAATAAAAGTATACCTTTATAAAAGGGGCAGTTCAGAACTCAAGTGTTAGGAGATAATAACATTGCAGAATTACAAAATTCACCTGCATTTATTCAACTGTCTAATATAACTTTAAGACTGTTTAAAACATCATTTTTGCTGAGAAGTGCAACCAGTTGCTCAAGTGAGTTGCTTATACTGCACAGAAAGGTGTGTGAAGAACACTCATGGAATGTGTCCTAGTATTCTAGCTAGGTTGCCTCTCGATCCCTCTGTTAGGGATAAGATCATCTATTCATTCAAAAGTCACTTATCAGAAGCAATAAATCCACTGATTAATTACAATCCAGTACTCACAAAGAATGGAATAAGACCAGAAGCTTTGTCTTCATCCAAAATTTTCTTCAAGGCTGAACCACAAACACTAAACGTATCATCTGAAGAAACATTTTTAATCTTCACACCACCAATTAACGCAGCCCTTTCCACTGATGAATGAGCCTACAAGGAAACGGGCAGGTTTTAAGACAGATACCTTTTATTAGAATGTAAGAAGTTTGTTTGAATTTGAAAATAAAAAATAATTTCTTTCAAATAAAGCAATACTTGAGATCCTGTAATGGATACGTACCTCTCCCTCTTTCATATGGATAGACAGACAGAGAGATGGACACACATACACACACACACACACAAATGCACTAACAGAAATTCTGAAACATTCTTGAAACCATTGCCATGGCATCATTCAGATGAGTTCAATTAACCTCAGTGAGAGCTTTAAATAACATTTTCACTATTAGGTAGGATTGATGAAGAGCTTCAGGATTTGGCTCCAAATCAATCAAAAGACATGCAGATAATCAGCTTGACTGATAATGATTCAGTTGCTCACTAGCATATATTTATGGTGTACAGCTTTGCTGAATCCTAAAAAAATATACATCATGGTATGGTATAGATCGACATATTTTCTTACATTAGCTGTTTTTTTCAGGTGACCTACTGAATAAATTGTCATTCAATCATTCATTTATTTTGGTAAGCAATTAAGGATCATTTCCAATACTTTATTTTATTTATAATCTATTTTATTTCAATTCTCCTTAAATAGTATTTTTTGGAACATAAAGTACATCTCAGTAAATAAAGATATCACCAAGAAATTCTTCTAAAATTATTAAGTACAATACTAGAATAACTATTAACAGTAAAAGATATGTTTAGCCACAAAATACTCTCCTTTAGAGCATGACTAAAAATTAAAAAAAAAGCTATTTTACCTTCCACTTTCTACAGTTTCATTAACCATCATTAATTTGAAAGTGAAAAACACCTCACCTTTTCATATCGTGACTATTCTCATTCATAATCTCCGTCCTACCCTTGTTGGTTCTTGCTAGTGCCTACAGGAGCACTTAGTAATTCTATTCTAATTTAACATATAATCACGGAAAAGATTAAGCCAAAACATAGGTTGAACCAGACCAGATGAAGTCAAAGTTTCTGCCTTTCAACTTCACATATCCCTGGAATGATGTGTTTTAAAGGCAAATTGACTATTAACTTGTATTTCAGCAGTGTCTCTTGTTAAAGTACTTTGGCAAACTAATTAGGCATCAGCTTGAGAAAATATATTAGTCTAGACCTGAAATATAACTAACTGCTTTTGAAGTGAGAAACAATATACCATAGCAATACCATACTTCATTCAAGTGTACAGTGGAAAGACATATTTCGTAACTGATTTATACAAGAATTGTAAATGAGAAAACTATAGGAATACACTGAGGTTGTTAGCCAGTCAGTCTCAGAAGTCCTTCCTCAAGTCTCCAAAATTGTTGTAAGGCTCTCTGATACCTACTGCCATTCATAATCTTAAGGTTAAAACTGCCAAGATGCTTTTGCATTGTAACAAATATTTAGTGACCTGCTGCTCCATGGAATTCCTAGTCCTCAACAAAGTACTTGGGAATCTCCCACCACTCTGGAGGAGAGTAAAGAACCAAAGAGAAATCAGTGAAATGAGTGGGCAGCTGCTTAATGTAGCAAAATACACATGGTAAAAAAGGTTGATGAAGGAAATGGCATGAGAAAATTTGGGAATATCAAAAAACTACTCTCATTTCTCTCCGGGTCCCAAACAGTCCGGTGTCTACTGTCATGGGTAGCTGGATGCTCCTCACAGCTCTGAGGTCTCACATTCAGTGTGCCTTGCAAGAGGAGCCTCAGCCAGGATAGCCCAGGCACTAAACCAGACAGGGATCCTCTTCTGTTGTCTCCAAACCCCCAAGCAGTTATTAGGGAAAGCTTTCTTGCCAGTCCTGCTCTGTACTCATTAACACAAAGCAAAATTATTTCAATGGGATAAAGATTTTCACAAAATGCTGAGAAGCTAAAATGATCTCCCAAGTTATGAGAGATCTGAGTTCAGCTTTCTGCTCTGGGTCTCCTCACTGGCCAACTTTTTACCTCCCTCCTAACGCATTCTTGCAGTGTTGTGCTCTGTCAGTGCACGGCTTCTCTCCCACAGAACGGCTTAGGCTTACTTTCTTTTGTGGATTATTGCCTCTGAGTCACACAGGTCTGTTCTTAATGCAGAAGGACCGGTGAGCTCTGCAGCAATCTGCTTTGAAAGGTCAGCAATATCTTAAAGCAAATCCTTCTGTAAACATAAGATCCTCTGACCTTCAGTAGGCAAGAAGTGCTGTCAGTCCTCATTTCAGGTCAGTGACTTACATGGGACAAAAAATGAAAACAAGTAAAAGGCTTTGTGCATCACTGGGTCAGAGTTTGAGCTCTGGGACTGGCAGTCTGCACAACACAGACCTTAGCATTCGGACAAAAAAAGGACAAATATCCGTTGTGCCTTTCGAAAAGTTATCTTTCCTCATATTTTCTTGTTCTGACTCTCCTCACCCTTCAACTGTAGTCCCTCTTCACACTAACAAACAGCAAGTGTACTTGTAACTTGTTCTCCAGTGCTTTTTAACATACGCTTAGTAGTAAACCAAGGTAAGCCTGAACCTGCCCATCTTATTCTGCATAATCAGGTATTACTTTAAACTAATCATAAAGTACTAAAGAAGTTTCTTATCTCATTGACATTTAGATAAGAAAATGTCACCGTTATTGAGAGAAGCAACATTGCTTGGCCTTTCAGTAGGATTAGTGTGTCAGAAAGATAAGAGCATCAGAACTCACAAGACTAAAATTTGCTTTTATTAACAGTAAAAGCCTCTCATAGTCCTGACCTGCTGAGATTTTAGCCTCAGTCTGCTAAATACCACTCTGTGCTGGGTTTACGTGATGGGGTTTTGATAGCAGGGGAGGGGCTGCAGAGATGGTCCCTGTAAGGAGCTGTGAAAAGCTTCTCCGGCTCCAAAACCTGTCGGACCGCCTCTGGCCAGGTTGGACTCCCCATGCCTCAGGCCAGGACCAAGCTACGAGTGCCTCTGCCAATGCCCTGTTTGAGACAGGGACAAAGGAGCCCAAACTGGGGCTGGACCTGCAGTGAAGAGAAGGGGGAGGCGGGGGCTGGACCCACCGGCCCTCCGGGCGGGCAGCTGGAGATGGCTGCAGCAGTGCAGCTTGGAGAGCTCTAAAGTAGTCCGCTCCCAGGGCACCCACTGGGCAGAGTTCATCCTGCCAAGACCGCCAGAGTTCGTCGGGCTGGTTGAGCCTGGCACGGCTGCAGCAGAGAGAGGGGGGGG